CCCCTCTACGCGCAGCCCCGGCAGGCTCGCCCAACCCTGCCTGCCAGTAACACTGTTGAAAAGAAAATTTCAGGAGGCTGTGAACACATCTCAGATGCTCTTAAGATGACTTAGGCTGTTCTGTCTGCTTCTGTGACAAGTGGGTAATTTTTATATAATTATTCTCCCCTCCTGAATAACCTGATAAGAGATCTTTCCCTCTCTACATATATACACACAGAGTATCTGTGTACTATAGATACGCCCTTACATCGGTGCACGCCTACGTCCTGCTTCTCCCACTTCTCTCCCAAAAATCTGAATGTTTTCAGATTCAGTTCTGATACAAGCAGATGGGCCTTGCAAGTCTTAATTCAGATCTTTTGCAGTCAACTGCAACTATCTCAAATTCACAGAATAATTCAGGTAGTTTATTTCCTATAGATAACACATCATCTGGGGAAGGAAACGATGAAACGCACAAACACAGTGGTGCATTGCAGGCATGTTATTACTGCAATAATCACTCCTACTTGTCAATACAAAGATTGCTGCTGTGTACAGTTAAGCACAGAAATAAATTCTACTTCAGTAATCTCAGTGCATACATTAAAACCCAAAAAGCACTTGAAGTATTTACCAGTTTATTTGTAATAGGTAAAAAAATTGGCAGCAATTATATTTTTTGTTACAAAATAATTTCTGGCCTGCTGACAAAACCTGCTACAACTAACTTGATCACTACTCACGTTGTCTCTGTTCACCAAAAAGTACCTTAGGAAACAAGGCTCGTCAGTGTGACTGTACTTACTGTTGAGCACAACATGGTTTCTAAAGACATTTGGTAGAAGTCACAGATATTGGCCAGAGATCCAGTCCCTACAGATCTGATATCCAGAGGTTTGATTCCCATTAACAGTAGTCACAGCTGGGCTCTCAAAACAAGAAATTTGATGTGGCTCAGGTGCCTGCAGGAATAACTCACAGCAGAAGCCAGGGTAAGCACTTCTGGAGAGAAGGAGAAGCAAAGGGGACCCCTCCTTGCCCCCTCTTCCCAGGGGCATCGGGGCAGTTTCAGAGCACAGCGGTTTCTCCCCTCGCGCGAGCAGAATACAGAACCCAGTGTGGCAAACAGGAATGAATATGCAGGGTACAAGATTTTCAAAACCAAGATAGGCTGTGAAAACTCTATGGTTAAGACAACTAAATCCCAAGACTGTTTCAAACAGCTCCTGCTTTAGGAATTTTAATTATTAAAATCATGTCACTGAATCAAGAGGTCACTAAACCCAAGCTCCTGTATTCTGCTTCAGCTACAATTACGAAGCAGGAGGCTTGTAGAGGAATTTTTCTCTATATGCTCAGTGTCAACTAGCTTGGAACACAGCAGTTTGAGAATTATTACAGATTAAAATGTAAGCAGTTGATTCTTTAGCACTCCTCCTTCCAGTCACTTCTTGCACTATGTTCTCAGTCATATCTTGCTCTGACTTAGACAAAAGATCAGGATATGGTTCTGTTTACGTGACTCATCAGGTGTTCTTCTTGGAGCTAAGAAGAAAAATAAATTTAATTATTATATAGTACTGCAGGCAATTTTCAGGCTGAATTATAACCAAGTGTCATTTGAAAACATATAGCATAATATGAGATTGGCTTAACTCCATTATCTCAAGATGAGAAAGAAAGCCCAAATATTGAAAGCCCTCAAGAAGGCACTTACCTTTGCTCAGTAACTCCTTTCAAAAGAGCCCATTTACTGCTCCTGACACTGGATCCAAGTCTATATCATAGAAACAGGGTCTGGTAGGAAGTCCTGGCATAGTGCTCATCTGAATAACAAAAGAAAAAAAGGGTTAAAATGGAAGCAGCATTGTTTTGTGCAGAAGATAGAACACTGAATCACTGCTGAAGACTATGATGGCAACAGCTGATGCAGCTCCCGCACACATACACACTGGCTGGATGACAGTCCTGTCCCATTTTGAAGCACACTGAGAATCAGGAACTCCTGGCTCTGTAGATAGATCTAGGATTTGTGGTTTTTACAGTGAGGAATTAGTTTGGCTTCTGGCTCTGGCAGTGACTAAGCCCAAGATCTGGCAGAGTGCTTAGATACCCAGTTGACCAGTTAACTGTTAGAGGAGCATCCACGGACTTTGCTGTGGTGAGACAACTGCTTGTGGCAGTGTCCTGGTTATTAAAATGAGGATATGTGTCTTAATACAGTTTCGCTGACTACAAAATCTCAGCTGATTAGAATTCCTTAAGAGAGTCTAGGACTAAAAGTGTTAAATAATTAGGAATAATTACATATAAAGTGTTTTGTTTTGCTTTTAATGGGGATAAAGCTGGAACAGAGATGGAGAGATCAGTTCTCATGACTGGACCATTTGAGGCATCTGGGTCAGGGCTGTGCAGTGGCAGTACTGCAGCTAGGAAGACATCTGCCAGCACAACGCCTGCCTCAGGCCAGTCCCCTCTCGCTGTCCCACTGCTGAGCGCCCAGTTTCAGAGCCACAGAACACAAGGCTGGCAGGGACTATGCTTGGCCTTATTTCCTAAAGCAGCTGGCAGGATTTCCCCTCCCCTAACTCAGTGTTTAGCCCAGCAGCACATGTAGGCTACACAGACACTCTACAAAGCTGGGCAACTTGTCACCATGCTTGGCAGTTTGTGCCAGTGGTCATTCACCCCTTCAATAAAAAAATCCAAGCTCTCATTCTCTATCTGCATCATCCAGCCTCAGCTTCCACAGTCAGTGTTGTTATGCCTGTCTTCAGCAGATTAGAAATCTCTTTGGCAACCTGGTATTTTCTCCCTGAGAAAGTATTTTGCACACTAATCAAATTACCTCCCAGTCTTCCTTTTGATAATAAGCTAAGCAGCAAGGAGGCAAAGCTCTGTTCTCCAGCACGCATATTCCCTGCAGTCCTCAGAACTGTTTGGGGAGCTTTTGGAGTCTCACCCCATTTTCTGAACCCATTTACAAATGCCAACACCCGTCCTACATGTAATGCAGCACTGCAGGTCTCATGTGGCTTACATAGAGATAAAATCACTTCAAGTCTACTCTTTGTAACGGATTGTAGGACTGCACTGGCTTTTTGTCAGAGCTGCTGCTTTCGCCAACAGAGAATAAGGGGAGGCTACAGAGAAGACCCTCATTTTTTTTGTGTTGGTGTTTAGTTTAGTTGTATGTATATTTTGCTCTCAAGAGCCAAGGTATTAAGAGAGATGAAACGCCTGTAAGGGTTTTCCTGTTCTCACCATAGTCACTGCCAGTCTCCAGTCAGGCAGAGCAAGAAACATCCTATTTATTTATGTATCACTGAAGAATCATAGAGCTTTGTAGATTCAGATTCAGAGGGCCACAGCAGGAGCTGAGACAGGGATGTCCAATAAAGTAGGAGGTGCCATATTGCTGAAGATGGGCCTGACCTTACCATTTCTTGAACTGTTTTGAAAGGAACAGTGAATTTTCCTCCTTTCCTATCCACAAGGCAGACCACAGTGGCTACTCTGCTATCTGTTACTTAAAGGCATTTATGAAAGGCTTCTATTACTTATCTATCGCTCAAACCCTGCGTTTCTATGGAGTACAGGACACCTTCCAACCAGGTTACTAATTTCCTGTAAAACTGTCTACAATGTTTAATGCTCTCAGTTATTTTCAGAGCTGAAGAAATGAACTTTTCTTCCATTACCCTTCTCCTTGTCAATACCACGTATGCCGACAAGAACACAGGGCAATTTCCACTACTTACTTACATGAAAAAAATAAGACCACATGGATATCATCAATCCCCTTGCAACATTTCCAACAAAACCAATACCAACTAATGTATTATTTACTGCATTTGTGGAACTTCCAGAAAAATGCAATTTAGGAAATAGAAACTGGAGGTGAATAAGTAAATTGTTCTCAATTCATCAGCAGCACAAGAAACCAAAGCAATTTGAGTCCAACAAGTTATTTCACTTTCATTATCTTTCATGCTCAAAGTTAAATCTAGATAATACTTGAAATATTTTCTTTAAAGCCTGAAAGTATTTCATTGAAGTGTAACAGCTTCAACTGAGCCAGAAAGGGAAAAATCCAAAACTCAGACTCTGAGAAGAAATAAAATGTGGCATAGGTTTGTGATTGACTTCAGGGAACAAGAATACACATGCACTAGTGATTAATTTCACCTCAAATGTCCCATAGAAGCTTTTACATAGAGCTGCATACCTGCAGCATTTCCAGCTCACAGTTCAATGGCTGCTGCCACAAATTTATTTTGAGGCT